TGAATTGTGAAACAGCTGCTACAACTAGTTTAGCATGCTAAGGAAAACCAAAAGTTAATGCCAGCTTTCCTTAGGAGACTAAGTTATAATTTGCAGTTACCTCACAAGCTGGTGAGCCACCTTAGCCATCAGTAGTAGGCACCTCTGAAGATGAGGACACAGATTTGGACAGAAGCCTCTACAGCCACTTAATTTCTGCATGTGCTTCTGATGCAGAACCACAAACAATAAGACCAGAGAAAAAATGGTGATGTGAGTCAGCCCACAACACACCTCCAAAAGAATTCTTCTAATTAAAACACAGCAGCCAAATGACGATGCAGCGGACACTGATCTCAATAAAATGGCACAACCTCAAAGGGTGACATTGCCACCAGTGGGCTGACCGGCTGCTATAGTCATCATGTGGCAATTCACAAGCAGAATTTAAGTCAACAACTTCTACTTCAAGACTGTTATCATCTAGGATTACATAGCACAAGGGGTGGCCACAACTCAGTTGAACAATGGTGACTTGTTAAGCTGAGGTTACTTATTTTACATTATCTTTCACTTTGGCCCTCAGCTTTTGCATTGCTTTTCACACTACTCTTACAAACAAAAGGTTTTAATCTATAATCTGCTTGGATATTGAATGCTAACATTCCCTCTTCAAAAAATCCCTCCATGCAACTCTAAGGTCCTTGCGGGGGGGGGGAATCAAACACAGAATAGGGTGCAACTCCATTACTGCAAGCATTCATAGCAGAAAGTGTAAACTTACTCTGTAATCATTGGATTCTAAAATATGTCTCTTTACTATTATTATTACAAATAAAGTTTTTGAGTACAGAAAGCCAAAAAAAGTATGTTGCACACACAGGTATTTCTACATGGAACAAGAGTATTGTTTAAGCTATCTTTTAAGCCATTTGATGACTAAAAAATTGTCTTTTGAAGTACAAAATTAACACTTAAAGGCTTTTATCAACTTTTGCCATTGATCAGATCTGTGTAACCCAAAATCTGACTCCGGATAATAACCCGCTATTTCAAGCAAAACCACTACTTTTATAAAAAACCCAAGGAATTTACTGTTCAGCTACAGTCAATTATTTCTTTAAAACCTTGCATATATTTCTGATTTTCACAAACATTAAGTTTGACAATCTTTTACTGAAAACTACTTAAAGACATTTTCACATTATGTTACCCAGCTAAGCTACTTCCAATGAGGCACAAACAACATGCCAACTTCAGCACTAGAAGCTGCTGCAAACTAGGTCCAAAACCACAAGGCTGTACATACAAGATAGACAATAAATCTCCTCTATACTTAAAAATACATGTATCAGATAAACAAATGTAAAAAGTGGTTTTACATATTGGTAGGTTTCAGTTTACTTATTTAGGGTGGATTCTCTGTGTTAATAGTACCAGCATGACTAAGGAACAGCCTGTACGGTGTTTTGGAATTCACATATGATGGGCAAGAACATCTGGCACCACTGGACATAGGTCCTGATACAGCCATCTAGATACTGCATCCTTACCCCATACGCTGTCCTACCTCACAGAAAATTAACAGACACATGTTCTAAGACTAACAAAGACAACTCTTAGCAGCACCTTAGCTGACACATAGCATGAAGTGTAAAAACTTTACATACAGTGATTTGCACAGAGGGCAGCCCTTTGTGAAACAATCCCCAAGTTTGGCACCGCTTTCACTGTATCTTTTCTTCATGCCTCCTATCACTTTAGTTACTGCGTATTAATTTAGGAAATCAAGCACCAAAGCTTGACAGCTGAAATTTATTTGTTAATTGACCTACCAAAAGCTTACAAAACAGGTACCATTTGTCTTAAGTTCCCCTCCAAGACAAGCAAGTAAAGACATTTCTGACGACAGGTTCAGGGCTCTTTGTCTTCAGGCATGGACAAAGACTACCATTTCTCAGCAGAATTCAGAAAGCATTTGAAGTGACCGATTTGAGAAACTGAGTAAGCGTGCTACAAAGAGCACCATGAAGCACCACAATCTGAAAGACTTCAGAGACTAGGAGAGTTGCATTCTCCTGCAAAACCTCACAGTACTGACTGATCATGTATGACTTAAAAACTACTGTTGCTGATGCTGCATGCAGTAACTACAGACAAAAATATTTATGAAGGCTCTGAGCCAGTAAGTTGAGTAAAGAATGTGAAATCATATTTCTTTATTGTCGTACCTACTCCCTTAGTGCTTGACAAACTACAGTTTAAGTTAGAATGGACCAGCACCGTGTGGAAAATTTCATCCTCTACCACCCTGCCTGGTGACAACAAATGCAGTTGTTTCTGCTGCAGTGCAGTGAACCAATACCAACTCACTGACAATTTTTTTTTTTTTTAACAAGTCTCTCTTTAGTTTAGTTGAGTTTCCCCATCTAATTCACCATGGAACCACACAAATGCAGGAACAAGGGAGGTAAGAATAAAAGGGTAATGGCATTTCTTTCTGCAGCAGTACCAGCTCAGGAGGCTTGCTGAACTCAGTGACCTTGAACTTGTCAAAAAGGCAAACTTAGTACCCTCAAGGTCAAACTGGAGAAGACACATTTATGGTTCAATTCCCCATTTAGAATCTGTTAACAGATGTGTATGTACAGCTGCAGAACATTGATCTAAAAACCAGTGTAAGAGAAGTGAAAAACCTCTGGCTGAGTGAATACTTCACAACTTCAAAAAATGCATTAATTTAGATGACCGCGATTTTTATTCTAATTGAAGGCTTAGACTGTCCTCATTAGGCAAAAATTAAGGCATCTTGAAATAAGTTTCAAATTGACAGTTCCACTTTTCAGAAAACAGTGTTTTTTCAGTGTTGCACAGCCATTGTGTACAATACACTGGGTACTGATTATTGAATGTATTGTGGCTACTATGACCACACATTAAATTTAAGCTCAGACAGCTCACTAATCTACCAAGAGTTCTCAGAACAATTAGCGTTATTATTAGCATCATTCAGTAAGACTGGGGAAGACGCCATGTAAACCAGAGCCTCTGTTTCAGCTCAGTGGCAAACTCAGACAGCTTGGCAATGTAAACGACAAAACACAAACGTCTAGGTTGCCACGGTCCTCTGGAGATCACTGGTCCCACGTTCTGCAGAAAGCGGGGCCTTAGGTGAGATGACCCAGGACCCTGACAAGCCAAGTCTTCAAGGGAGACTCCAGCGCTTCACCGGGCAACCTATTTGTGGTTAACTGCTCTAATGGTAAAGAACATTTTTCCCACAATTTTCCCTGAAGCAACTCATTCCCATAGCCTCCTGCCCCGTCACCATGCTCCCTTGTGAAGGGTGCACCTCCATCTTTCTCTGTAATGGAAGACTGTGACCAGATCCTCCCTCCTCTAGGCTGACAAACCCCACTTCTTTAGCCTTTCTCCATATGTCAGCGTGGCTAAGGTTAGCCCTTTGTGTTACAATTCTAATACATCTGCGTGTTATTGTAACTTTAATGCCTAGAAAGAGTATAGCATGCCTAGACTTCCTCTTGCTGTCATTTAAAGTAACTGACAAAGTACACTGAAACACTGGTTAATTCTTAATGAATAAATGATTTACATCTCTGAAATCAAAACTTCTAACTTTCCTTTTGAATATAAAGTTATGTGTTATTCCACACACAGTTCGGCGCTATCCATACTACTCCTTGCATGTTTTTGCCAGGTGTTTGTACTCTCAGCTGAAATAAAGCTTGATTTAGCAGGAAGACTTGATCAAAGCCATTAAGCATTCTTCACAGCACGACTTGCAGGAGACTACAAAGTGAAATGCAGCTGATGATTTTACTGGTTGAATAAGAGATCGAACCCTCTACATGTCTCCAAGTTTTTATCAAGTGCAGCCTGACAGTCAAATTATTGATCCTCTTGTGCCTCAGATGCAACCAACTACCTTTTACATGAAGACTTTAAGAACCTGAAATAAATGCATTCTGAAGCCATTACAGGGACAAGCGTCCCTCTAATTCAAAGTGAGGAACATAGTTCACTAGTATTTTAACTCTTATACTAGCTAATGAAGATTTAAATTGTTTCTGTTACATAAACAAGTCTTCTGCATGCTGACTTGGAGCTACAAAAGGCTCAAGTCATTTATTTTAAAATCGGCTTCCAGGGCGGATTAAGAGTGAAGCACAGGGCTGAAAATAGATTAAAAGGATCAACAAGACTTCCCTCGCGGATATGGGGGCGTTTAAGCGAGCATAGACTAAACTCCTACATCAACTCGTATTTTTTGGGAGCCGTCTGCTGGTGGGCAGATTTACAGGGAGCGCTTTCCTTTCGGCCACCCCGGCGCCCGGCCCTTCAGGCGGCCGGCACGGTGCGGTGCGGTGCCGCAGCCTGCCCTCAGCCGCGGGAGGCCGG